ATTCGCGGATGAGCACGACCAAGCAACTGCGAAAAACAAGTTCATCTGGCCTGGTGCACGACGCTTTAAGAAGTGGGCAAAGAGCATATTCCAGAGCCAGGACTCCACTCCTGATGATGAAACAACAGTCGCTGGGTTTGACAGGAGCAACACGACTGTTTACATGGGCGAGGCGTATAAGGAGAAAAAGGACCCTGAGCATCTACCACCTGCCAACACGTGGGAGAAGTTTGGAAACGGTATCCGTGCCATTTCACGTTTCCTACGAAGTCCCGAATCAGCCTTTGGTTTCCGTGCCGCGTGTGCCACGATGAGTATCGCCATTGTCGCCTTCCTTCGCCCAACTCAGCAATTCTTCGTTGAACAACGCTTGGTCTGGGCGCTTATCATGGTCGCCATCTCCATGACTCCAACGGCTGGTCAATCCATTTTCCAATTCATACTCAGAATCGCTGGTACCGCAGCCGCAATGATAATAGCCTGGCTTATATGGTACATTCCTGGACAGAAGACTCCTGGTATCCTAGTATTCCTTTGGGTCTTCGTCGCAATCGGTTTCTACATTCCGCTAAAACGAATGGATCTGGTTATTGTTGGTTTGATCAGCGTAGTCACGGCCACCATGATCGTCGGTTACGAGCTGCAAGTGCGCAAGATAGGAGAGCAGGCCGCAACCGCAACAACAGGCCAACCCGCATACCCAATCTACGAACTTGGCCCTTACCGTCTCGCCACCGTTGTCGGCGGTCTAGCCGTCGCCTTCTTCTGGACCATCTTCCCTTACCCCATTACTGAGCACTCTGCGCTTCGCCAGAAACTCGGTGGCGCATTGTACCTCTCTGCGAACCTCTATTCCATCATGCACGAGCAGGTCATGGGTCGTATTCGTGGTGAACTCGGAGGTGACGAGGAAAACGACAAGGAGAGTCCGGGTTACCAGCTCGTCAAAGCGCGAAACAAGGTGTTTGCGAAGCAGATGCTCACTCTACAAGGACTGAAAATGCATGCCGGATTTGTGAAGTGGGAGTTTCCACTTGGAGGCAAATTCCCAAAGGACGAGTACGAGAAGATTATCGGTTATGTCGAAAAGTACGTATATTATCCTAACTTACTGCCAACGATGGCGAGCACGCACTAACACAAGTGAACCAGTATCGTAAACTACACGGCCCTCCTAGGCTACGCCTCGCAAGCCTTCACCCACCCCTCATTTAACCACCAATCCGCCGACCCCACATCCCCTCAAACAGATGAGGCCCCCTTCCCAGACCATCACTCCGCGCAGTGGTTCAACGACTTCCGCCGCGTCATTCTCTCCGCCAAAGTAACTTCGCATGAAATAACATCCTTGCTCGCCATGCTCTCCTCCAGCATCACAAATGCGCAACCTCTACCTCCTTACCTCCACGCACCCCCGGGAGCCCAATTAAGTCGGAAACTCGAGATGGTGGATCCCGAGATACTGAGTTTGAGACATATTGCTGAACCGGGCTATGCGGCATTTGCAGTCATGAGCATAAGTACGAGGTGTATACATATGGATATTGAGAGGTTGTTGAAGGCGGTCAAAGGGCTGGTTGGGGAGTTGGATTTTAGCTTCCATGTTGTTAGTACCAAAGGGGCTGACTCGGGGACTTCATCAGAGGAGACGCTTGTCAAGAGGATGACGACGAAGCAGGATTAGCAAATGCCTTGTACGTAGTTTAGTAATATATTGTAATATCTTTCCAAAGCTTGTGTAATACTAGAGATCACTTGGTATGCATATATGTAATAGCAGGGCTTTTGAATACGCATGCAGCAAGTAAAAGACAAGAGACGAGATTGTAAAAAGTAGGGGTATCCAGTCTCATTCACACATCCATGCAGGTATATACGTCCACCCCTTGATATCAAACGCGCGTAAAGACAAAACGTAAGGAGACATGTACAAATTACAACCTTGGACTCGTATCATTCCAACCCAACCAACATGCACATCGTTCGTCTCTCCCAGTCTCGTTCCTCATCCCATCCACCCTTGCAAGAAAGAAAAAAACGATAAGAAATCAACATCCTCACTTCTTCTCTCTCATCGATAAACACGACCCTACAGCTACTTACTCTGCTACAGGCATACTCTCCACTTCCTCACTCAATGCCCTCCAGTTGTCCGCTTGCAGCTCCGCGTATTTGACCCTCTCCTGCGCCCACTCCTGATGCAACCTACTAACATGATATTGGCTCTTTTGGAAAAAGACAAGTTCATCGCGGATGCATTCCGTAATGAAGACACCACGCGCATGTTGTTGAACAATAGATTCCTTGTCCTGCATTTCATGGTCAGAAAAAAAAACGTGGGGAGGAAAGGAATGATAATGACTGACCTTGAAAATAGCATCCTCCACCTTCTCTGCCTCACCCGGCTTAATCTGCTCGGGAGCCTTCTGGCGGATATTCTGGAGTTTAGTCTCATTGTTCGCGATACGCTTTTCCAATTGTGGAATGTTATCGCGAGCGTACTTGTCCCGGCGGTCAAACATGTCGCGTACACTGACAAGCGTATCCCTCTGTCTCTTCAAGTCTTCCAGAACACCTTCTTCCCATCCTCTGGCTTCGTCTTCTAGCAGTTGCCTGCTCGAGTCGAGATGTCGTGCTGTGGCGTTCATGCCCTCGTTTAGCAATGGGACATCGTTTGTATCGACGGCATATGTCTCTTGACTTGATTCCGTGAGGCCGCTGAGAGCAGATGAGAAACGTGCGTACTCTGCTGCCATGCCTTCATTGCGGCGGGAGAGTCGCTCCATCATGCTGCAGAGAGTGATGTAGGTTTCTGCACTACGACGGACGCCCGAGCGGACAGTATCGAACAGTTCGGGGAGCGTCTTTGGGAGCGAGTCTTCGAGATCTGAAGGTAGAGGTTTACCGGTGAATTCTTCTTGGATGGAGAGATTGGCTTGTTTGCGCCATACTGCAAGTTCCTGTTTGGGTCAGTATGTCGAGACTATGGTCTGGCCGAGTAAGCATACCGTGGGCACTGTCAAGAACATGACTACCAATTGCTCCTGGTTGAGGACAGGGTGCCGTACGAGCGCGTTGGTAAAGCGCGCGAGGCCTTTTCTTCGCTTCTCGAGGAAAGTAGCATCTGCAGCTATTGGGTTGCCGTTGACTAAGAAATCTCAATACGTATCAAGGCCATGGCAGGATAAGTACTTACTACCGACTCTTTTGGGGGGCAATAGTGGCAGTTGCCTGAAGGGGTACCGCTTGTGCAGGCAGTCTAGCAACCAGACGAAGTCACTGTATCGGCGGACGACCTTTGTTGTACGCTTGGAGCTGGCGACCTCATAATTGCGGTGCTGGAACATGAACATGCCCTCCTTCTCGGAGAGGGCCGTGATAGTTATGACCTCCTCGTTCCCACTGCCACCTGGGTTCAGGCGGCCAATGGATCTGCCCAACTCTGGTGTCGCGTTTGGACCAGCCTCTTCAGCAGTGGGGGCGCCAAATCCTCCTTGTTCCAAACTAGGGGCGGAGAAGGGTTGATTCGCGCCGCCATTGTATCCGCCCCAACCACCCTCACTACTCAAGGAACTTGGTTGGACGGGCTGCGGGATGTTCGAGGAAGCTGCGGTCGACTGAGTTGTAAATTGGCTCGTCGTTCGTGCGGTAGTGGGTACGCTTGAGCCGTTGGTATGCGGTTGTGAGCTTGTGTAGCTCGCGTGGCTATGGCCTCTGTGCAAGTCGGGGCTACCCCAAGGGTCGGCCTCTGGGTCGCCGAAAGATTGCTTGCGCATAGGCGCACTCGACCTGTTTGCAGGAGACGGTTGCTGCGCAGAAGGCTGGCGTTGTGGGGCAGGAGGAGTGGGCGGCTGGACCTGTTGGGGAGGCGGAGATGGCTCGCGGGCCTTGGTGGACTGTGGCAGCGTCACGGTTGGAACGGGAAGATCTGGCAGGGCGTCAATGTCGTCTCTTGGTCGCATGCGCGACAATGCTAACACTCACTCCTTTTCCTCTCGTCAACGCTGTCCAGGGTGATGTCCTCATGCTCTTGCGCCAACCCAATCAGGGCGAAGACAACATTGAACTCGTTCCTTCCCAGTTGGGAGCTGCCACCAGACGGCAGCACAATCTCGAGTATCTTGGACTGCGCGTGACCTGGGATATCACTATCGGCCAGCAGCTTCTTGACACCCTCAACACTGATACCATTGCCTTCGCGGTTCCCAGCGTCGAGCAGTGCGTCGAAAGCGTCAATGTACGAGTCGGGCACGTCCGAGGCAGGAAGCAGCGACTTGACGAGAGCTTCACGTGGAGCTTTCTTGGGGGTTGGGAATCCCCAGGGCGAGTCGTTGGCGTCCAGGTCGTCTGCGAACAAGCTGTTGCCCGTCTTGCCCGCCGGCTTGGGATCGTCATCGAAGAGCGACGACGACTGCTTCGCGCGCTGCGGCGCGTCATCGTCGTCACCGAATAAAGACATTGTCGCCTAGAGGAGATGCGCAGTCGGCTAAGTATTCACAACCTACACGTCGACGATGGGTAGAGCTGCAGGGCCGCAGCTTAGACTGGAGATGCTACACGCGATGATAACATGGAGCTATGATGCGGCGGTGCAAGGAACCGGACTCCACTAACGCCCGACCCATGCTCCACGCACATCGTCACAGCCTTATCATGCCTTGGCACTTATCATCATACCGATGCTTGACACTTGTAGAGACATGATTTGACAATATTGTTATTTTGCTATAGCTAATTCAGATCATAAGTTTGTCGGCCGCATATCTGCGCCCTCCTCCCAAATCAAAGAGCCTGACCTTGTAGTCGGCGGGTATCCAGTCCTCGTAGAAACACCAAAGATTTTTTAACTTCCAATTGCGCCATCCCATGCCAATGCTGTGTGGAGTGTCCACTTTCCTCAATCATGCTACCAATGCGCCGCTCAATGTGGGGGTATATACGTGCTATCAACATTTCAAATATAAACAGAAACATGCGAGAGAAGATGAGGCGCAAACAAGCTACCTGTCGTGGTCTGTCCGGCTGTGCTGTCCGGGCCTGCTAAAGTCAATCGTTGACGTCGATTCATCCTGTGCCAGTGGTGTACTTGGTGCCGATGGGCGCACCGTCTCTCCACCGAGAACACTTCCTCCAAGTGGAGCGGCAGGCGAGAATCGAATGCGAGGCGTGCGTGTTGAGTTTGGCGTAGCGGAAAGGTTGACAACCTCGCTTGAATCCGTCACTCCATGAGAAGTCGTTGGTGAGTTCACCCGATCTTGCTCGCTCGCAGCCGGCACACCCGTAGCCTGCGTGGCCTCCTCTTGTTGAGCCTCCTCTTGTTGCTGACGAATAATGTCTGGAGACCAAGTTTGGCCACGAGGCTGAGCAGGGATGATGGTGACAGGCAGAACCGTTTCGTTCTGTGACCCAGACTTCTTCTTTGACCTTAGCTTTTCACCTTGCTGTGCAGCAAAGGTGCCGAGTCGATCGGCTAGAGCTAGCCCGTTGTAATTGCGACGGGGTATGTTCGCCGCTACATCGTCCACTGCAAGTGGCTCGATGACCTGACCTCTCTGGAGCTCTTTCGGGGGTGTCCGTCCTTTCCGCCTGAATGGGTTTCCCAATGCTTGCCACTGGAATTTGCTCCTGCTAGTGACTGGCTCTAGTTCGCCTCCCTTCTCCGGGTCCTCGGGATCAGCTGCTTGAGGTTCTTGCGACGAGGCTTGTGTTTGTGGCTGTGCTTCATGATTCCCAGGTCTACCGTCTGCCGGTGCAGGGCGTGGGTTCACTGGTGTGTCGCTGATTGGGTGATAGCGGACTGTGTATACAGTCGAGTCGGCGCTCGTTGTGTCTGTCCTGCTCACTGGTGATGCGATGACTGGCACTGGTGGCGGGGTCTGCACTCGTACATAGGCCCGCGAGTTACGATCTCCACGTGTCGTAGATTGGGACCGTCGCATGACTGGAGGTGGTGCTGGAATGTGGATAGTGCGCTTCTTTCGTGCTTCCGTTCGTGGCGTTTGGGTCATGTTCCGTCCAAGCTTCTGGGCAAACTCATTGAACCGACCAGCGTGTGCAGATGCGAAAACGCTGAATCCGCCTTGACCTCCCCCGCTCTTCTTCTCATCTTTTTCTGATGGCTGGCCCTTCCGTTTTGAGGGCCATTTGGAGTCCGATGGGCTGTTGTCGAGCATATCGTCTCCATCGTAAATTTCTCTTCCTAGAATTCCGTCCTTTCTCTCTTCTCTTTCCAGCGCTTCAATGCGCTCCACCCACTCCCAAACAATTACGCTAGCAGCCGCCGCTCCAACCCAGCGGAAGTAGTCTCCCCAGCCAGCAATAGTGTAGTTTGCGATGTCGGTAATGAAGAAGACAACCGGCGTAAGGATAGCGATGATGGACAGGAGGGAGATGACACTCATGTTCCACATCATAGAGTGGTAGAAAGCATATCGTCGCTTGGTGATGGCGTAGTACATAACCCAGGCGGCATAGAGCATGCTTAGTGATAACTGAAACAGGTAGCTGAGGGCAGGAATGGCGGTATCGAAATGTGCGGGGCGGCGTTGGTTTTCGTACGGACCAAAGCTGTTGAGACAGCTAAATGCGATGTCGAGCAGGATGAGGGCGAATCCGACCCATTTGATAATGACCTTCTCTTTGTGGCGTGGAAATAGGCGGATCAGAGTCTGTACCTGCGCGAGCCAGAGAAATATGTCGGACACGACACGCGAAACCTTGATTTCCATGCCGGCTACGACCTGATCCCGCAGTTCCATGGCGTCGATGAAGCCCTCCTCGTACTGGCGTTCGGCGATCTTGAAAGTGTCGGCAGTGGCGAGTGTCAGAGAAATGGCGACGGTCAGGGCTGCGGCCTTTTGCAACCATGGGCGGCTTCCGACTCCTATGATAGATCCACCTCCTGTTGCCCCGCTAATCATTCCGCGCCGTCCCATGAGCCCTGAGCGTCCCGAAGCGTTGCCGACGAAGAAGGTGCGAGGTGTGATGATGAGCATGATGACGAGCATCCAGGCGATGACGGTCGCGGCGCCTGTCGCGTAGGCCTGGGGTGTGATGGAAGCGTGGAAGGGGTCGCGCATGTCGGCTACACTGGTAATTCCGCCTGTGCCATCGTCCTGGGAGGTGGCTACGTTGGTGCATAGCGGGCGGAAGACGGCGTTCTCGTCGAGGTAGATAGTGTTGCCGGGCGAGATTTCAATGGTACCGAATTTGGGCAGCTTGTACGAGGGGCAGTGCTGATATCGGTCGTCAGTCGCGTGCGTGGGCCGTGTCGCGGTCGTGATACTCACGTAGGGTTGGGTGGCATCGGGCGCGCGACGGTCCAGGAGAGGCGCCCCATACCAGGACGAGTCGGCCTCCCACATGCTCGGTCGGCGGTCTATGACTGTCCAGCAGCAGTTGGTGTCCGGTAGAAGAAGCCCATGGAGGTTCAGATGAGTGGCATGGCCTGTGTGTCGTGTTGAGGTCGAGGGTCGCGGTCGTGGGTTAAGCGTCAAAGCCAAGTGGGAGTTCGCTGGGCGAAGCTTGAGGGAATGCAGGCGCTGTGGGTGGCACCTGCCGTTCCAGCCTGCCACTGCCCGCCTTTCATTGGCCGCGGAGTGACTGCAGGGTTCGGCCCTTCCAAACAGAAACCCCGGTCACTCCGCATCGAGACTCTAGGAAGCCCGAAACGTCGCAGCATGAAGCCTATAGAGTGGGCCGCGTGTGCAACTTCAAACTCGTACAGAAGCCTCTTGCACGGTGTTATTTCGAAGCATCGCTCTAGAGTAATCAGCGACCTCCATAGCTGGCAATACGCTGGGCGCATTGAGCAATCTCATCGCAGCAGGGAGCGACCAGCTTCGGATAATCTCGGGGCGACTGGGGAAGCCCTGGCCCCCGGGGGCTTCCCACACGAAAACCTAAACACCCACCTTCCAGCTACTGCTACCGCATACGTGCGTATCCACACCGAACAATTCGCCCGTGTCACCGGGGAGCCGATCAAAACAATAGCTTGAAATTCTGGAATTGCCTTCCAAAGTCCGGCTGACAGCTTAGGGCTGAGATCTAACAGATGGCGTGATCTAGTTGACAGACGTTACTTCCATGGCGGAAGCTGCACCATGACCGCGGCCGAGCCTGCCAACAACATCAACACTCTCTTAGTTTAACCTCAATCAGACGACATATCCTGCTTCCCTGTCTTCGCCAAACATCTCTTGCGACTGAGTGGTCTGTATGCTAGGCGTTGTAGCCGGATGCTCTGCCGAAAACACTCCATGCTTACCGCGTGCATACACGTCGCTTAGCCGAAGAGAGCGTATTCAGCTCATTCGGCTTGCGCATCGAATTGTCTTGATACACTCAACCTTGGAAAATATCAAGCTTCAGAACAACCATCGGCTCAAGCTGCTTCGTGCGGATCAACATCCGACGAAGCTTGAATGCCGCCTACGTGTTGGCCATGTGCATCTAGAACCTCCACTTATTACTGCCTGTTATGGCGCACTTCCTTCCTCAGTGAGAAAATGCAGTCCGTTTCCTGTATTTGTGCGCCAAGGACACTGCGCGCTGCCGACTTCCGCTGACGTCTCGGGAACCCGCAGCCAGTTTCTGGAGAATCCACTGAACGTGTGGAACGTGCTGTCCGCAGAACCTCATCTCAGCCCTCACCGCCAGAGGGACTGGAGCTACTCAAACAGTAAACAGGCGTGACTGAGGCTACCAGCTTCAACGGCGTGGACGCTACGCGATCAATAGCAGTGCCATCCAAGCCATCATCATGGATGTGCAAAGAGCAGCTAACGTCTACCACACGGACCACGCGTGACTCTTTATTGTTATCATTATCACGCTGCTGGTAATGATGCTCGTGTCCGCGACACTCTATGCATCCTGCGTGCTGGGACGCGCAGTATCGATGAACTCGCTCGAGATTGCAAAATCCTTTAATGCACCATTGCTTGCGATAGAAGACAGCAACAATGACAATAAGGGGCTGGTCAAAAGTCTTGACACAAAGCCAATCGATATCGTCCTATCACGGAGCCTACGGAGCATGTATCAGTGGCTGGGGTGAAAGGCAATATTACTGTCATGCAGAGTGGCATGAGGTCTACGTTTTTGGGAATCGCGGAGCGTGACACGGTTCAAGCTCCACGAGCTGGTCAGCACTTCAAACCTTGAGGGCAGCGTTAGTGGAACTTTCAGGAGCTGGAGATGTTTTTTCGATTTGGTTCTTTGCTTGATGGTGGCAGGGTCGTCAGGAATGTGGGCAACGTTCACTATCCTAATGTTGTACGAGAGAACCCGCTGGAACGTATCCATGGATACTTGCAGACCGAAAATACTTGCGCGAGATCTTCTGGATAAATTTCATACACGGTGACTGGCAAGTTCTTGAACGACTAGGCGATTCTTGTCGCGCGTGAAAATTATTGCCTCACGCGTACATCATCCCCAACAATGAATGATGGGGAAACAGCAAACTTGGCCCGACTACGTGCGTAAGTACAGAAACTATGGTCTCCGATTTCTGACTGGGAAAGCCCCTTCAACTGAGCTACCTGGACACTTGTCAACCTGGTTCTAGAGATACTTCAAACCGAAACATCTACTGCGACCAACAGATATGCCCGTTTGCCAGTTCCATAAACAAAATAGATGCATGTTTGGGACTGCTTGCAGAAACATCCATGAAGTCAATACATCACGCACTCACGGTGATCGGCCTGTCGACCCAAGGTCCAACATTATTTGCAAGTACTATATCAGAAATGTGTGCGAACGGGGCGTGAAGTGTCCGTTCAGTCACACTGTTGACTCCAGCACTGGCACGGCGCTAAATCAACGCCTCGGTCACGATGGCAGCAAAGAGGTACAGGATTCAAGTGCATGCCCAGCTTGTGGCGGCAAGCCACATGAACAACTAGTTTGCGCAGACGTCAAAGCAGGCAAGAGAGAACGCAATGATGTCAACGACGCCCGGAACTGTCGTACTTGTCTTATGCCTCTTCCGAAGCTTCAGTGCGCTGATCTCGTCATATGTGCGGCATGTAAGACACAAATATGCTGGCAGTGTGAGGAGGAATTCGAAGTGAATGCTACAGCTGAGGTGTTTGACCATTTTGTTGTTTTTGAGGATGGAGGGCGAAATAATCCTTAAAGTAAGGTCGTAATAGAATACGCTCTCGTGAATGTATGCTTGAAGACAAAGAGTATGTCGTGACATACTTCGGAATCGTCGATGTATGAATGAAGCAATACTTGCTGTGACCAGGTTGTACATGGATTGATGAGCTCAAGTAGTCTTTGGCAAAATTACTCGTCGATGTGTAGTAAATCCTCGCACCACAGATCTCCCGATAGTGGCCGTTCTCCAATAAACCTCGAGCACAGAAGTCTTGGAGAATGTATTTCTGTCTTGCTACGGGTTCCGTCTATGCAGGTGGGCGTCGGGAAGACGCATGACGCTAACGCACGTGCTCGCGCGCCTCGCTCGAATCGCCCGTCGCATCTTTCTGCGGCCCCACCGTCATCGAGAGACAGACGATTCTCCGCTATACTGGGAGCTTCTTTCACACATCTTTTGGATATTTTAGTTGTCGCACACCATTGTTTAAGGTCTAGCGACACTTTTGGGTATACGGCAACGTTTGCGCAACGCGGTTGTTGCACGCGACTGTGCCGCGCAGAACAAGACCTAGGGTGAGACAGCAGGTAAGATATCCACAGTGAAGCCGACTGCAAGGCCAGAGTCGTCAAGATGGCACCCAAAAAACCCCGCGATCGCAAACGGCAGACAAAGATCAACTTCTCACCTGCTCCCAAATCCTCGCCTGTAACCAGATCAAGTGCCGCCACAACGATGGGAAACTCGCCTTCGCGACCGAACCTTACGGCTATGCAACCGGAAAGGGCGCCCAGCAGAGCTCCCAAAAACAAAAAGAAAGACTTTTGGGGTGAAGACGCATTGGCAAAGGGAATAAGGGAAGGGAAGGAGTTGGGCAAGCTTCTCCATAGCTCTAGGCCCAATTACTCCGACAGTGACTCTGCCGACTCTACACCTCCAGAAGAGGACGAACCGTTGGCTCTTGTCATGTCGCGAAACTACAAAGCGTTAGCGACGCCCAGCGACAGATCCGAGGATGATGTGGATGAGGAAGACGAGGTGCCAGTGGAGGAACCTAAATCACGAAAGCGGAGACGAGCCGCGACGCCCAACGATTCTGATGACGAGGAGCCGACAGTCACAGTCGTCCCACGCAAACGTCAAAAGCGCGTCAAAATCGAGTCGGATAGCTCAGAGAAACCGAAGAAGAAAAAGAAGAAGGACAAGAAAGACAACAAGCGGGGTAAGAAGGAGGAGAGTACATCAGAGGAGGAAGAGACGCAGCCTGCACCTCGTAGCAGCCGGCGAAGGGCTGTGAAGAAGGCCCCAACACCAGACGAAGATGAAGAAGACGACGTTCCTCTCACGCCAGCTCCGAGGTCAAGGCGGAAGACAACCCGCCAGCCTTCTCCACCAGTTGAAAGGGAGGAGGAACAGAGTCCACCACGAAGCACAAGACGCAGACTGAAAAGGCGCAAATCGTCCTCAGAAGATGAAGAAGAAGCTTCAGGTAAGGGGGATGTCGTGTCGGGCGAGGAAGAGTCGGGTGGAGTTGAAGGAAGCGCAAATGACGAAGAGGACGACGAAGAGCAAGATGAGTTGAAGGAGGAACTCGCATTTCTGAGATCATCTCCACTACCAGACCGTGGTAGACTGAGAAGTACGCAAGATAAGCCCAAGAATAAACGACAGGAGGCTCTCGAAGCGTTGAAGAGGCGACGTGCTGGTACTACTAATGAGCCGTCCTCCTCAGCAACACCTGGGCGCAAAAGAGCAGTTGTAGTAGACACAGATTCTGAGTCAGAGCTTGAGATGATCAAAGAAGAACCAGATAGTGATCTCGACGTATTGGAAGAGGATGACATAGAAGATGACGAGCAAGAAGAGTCAGATCGCGATGCAAACGCACTTGACATGTTTCAAGAGGATGAACAAGACGAGCAGTTCATCGACGACGATCCAGACAACATGATTGGGGAACCATCTGTCAACGACGACCTCGACGAAATGCGTCTCGCGTTTAGCTTGTCGCGCGCAAAAACCCGGGACCTGTTCAAACACGCCGTAGAGTGGATGGTCATGAAGAAGATCCACCCAGGTTTTGATTCCAAGAAGAACGTCTACACGCTGACATTCCGTAAATTGGACGACGAAGTCAAGGGTCTCGCCGGATCCAAATACACATCCTCAGCTTGGACAGCCGATTTCACAAGAGCTATCCGCGCACGCCCTGATCTTATGATCAACGAACTCAGTGCTGCCGAGAGAGCCGTCATGTCGCCACACTGCGAAGCATGTAATCGAACCAACCACACAGCGAGTTTCGAGCTCCTCCTCCAAGGCCAGCCCTACCATCCAGAAACACTCGAGCCCTTGTCCACCGCCTCAGATTCCTCAGACTCCGATAGTGACGACAGCGACTCCTCTGGCCTATCGTCTGACTCCGAGACCGCGCTCAACGGTGAAAAACCAACGTACAACTACCAGAAAGACCGTATACCACCCGAATCTCACCGCTTCCCTCTCGGCTCAACATGCAAAGCCAATGCACAAGTCGCGCATACGCTGTACCACTGGCGGTACAACCTCTACCAGTGGGTAAAGGACCATCTCAAGGCACAAGGGCATTTGTCAGCTGAAAAGCTGGTGAAGAGAGAAGGGAAGAGTGACCGCAAGAGGGAGAAGGAGGCGAGGAAGATTGTGGACATCATGGAGGCAGACGGACAAATCAAGTCGCTTTGGCATTCTTATAAGACGCAGCTGCAGGCGGCGGTGGAGGCGGATAACGATTATGCTAATGGTTGGGGGAGAAGGGGGTAATGGGGTGGCAATCATAAACATTTCCGTGGATTTGGCTGTATTGGTAACATGGATTACCTCTCTCTAGGGTGAAGTCGAGACCATTGTGTATACTTTAGCCACGCACTAAGCGATGGCGAATTTGAATGTCAGCATGGCTGCAATTGAAACAAGTGCAACGCATCGATTCGTAGATTTTGGGTATCATGTGCATCGTGAGTTTTGCGAACGAAACCTTGTCCCTCCCCACCTCAAAGCATTTCCTCCACTTCGACAGGCGCCGGAACTTTTTCCGAAATCTCAGCATCCATCTCCTTGCCCTCGCCCTTGACCTCACCATTCTCCTCCACCGCCGCCGTCTCTTCCTCAACATCCATATCCTCATCGCTGACCCACTCCCTTTCCTTCCTCTTTTCCTCATCCTCCAGCTGCTCAATTGCAATCTGCTTCTTCGACTTCTTCGTTCCGTCACCATTCACATCCTCCCAGCCCTTGGCCCTCTCTACAATCTTCTTCGATTTGCCCACGCTCTTGGCCCTCTTCTTCTCCAGCTTATCCATGTTTTCCTCGGCACGCTCAAGCCCTTTTTGGTAGCGTAACCGTTGTGCGCGCGTCATCTTTGTGTCTTTCTTTTGCTTCTTCTGGATGCCGGCATCTTTTGCCTTCAGGGCATGAGGATTGGCTTGCGAGGGCCGCGATGGTGAGGCGGAATCTCGGGTTGTGTTGGCGGGCTTTTGGGCGGATTTGTCAAGATTGAGAGAGGGGGAGGCGGCGCGTCGGGCAGCACGTGAGTGAATGGTCACCGCTATCGGCTGTTAGGGAATAGAAATAACAAGGGTGGTGTTGAGGTACTTACGGCGCTTCTTGACTTTTGCGGTCTTTGCCATTGTGTATTGGTTTTTCTGGTATTGCTAAAGGGCTTCTCGAGGGTGCAAGTGGATGCTCAGAGATATGCGATCTAGTCTACTAGTCGCACTTTAACTTCAGATTTCGTTTTTGGTAAAAAGGTCGTGTGTGAATGAAGTCTCGCATGGTCCCAGAAATCTACAAAAGTTCCCCACTAGCTCGTGAACGCCAAAATTCCGGATCCACTTGAGCCGCTAGCGCGTTCCCACACCTGCCATGACCTCTCATAATCGCAGGCCATCGCGGTTGCCCTAGGACATTCTTCACGCCGTTTCGCCGCCACCACCGCGTCGTCGCTCACCCCCGACTGTCGCGCCCAGCTTCTCCCATGTCGCAGACAGACACTCCACCGCGTTTGCTCTGTTCGACCCCTCCATTCATGCGCTGGCCCGACGGTTGAATGTGACCCACCATTTGCGCCCGCCTGCAAGCGTGTTATCCATAGTTTACATACTTTTCGCTACCGCCGCTCCTCCAGCCTGCCCGTAGGAGCCTAGCGTTTCAAATTTATTTCTACCTCCCACCTAGCTATGAGCTACGCAGAGTACCCCGAATTCGAGGCCTATCAACAACGGTGGAACACAACCGAGTCGCATACCATCAACATCACGTCCCTTCTCCTGGGAACTATCATAGGTGCATACGTTCTCATCAAAGCCTTGGACATACTGGGCTTTCCCGTCTGGCATCTTGTCGAACGCTTTCTCCAAATGGCATCCGACGTCCTACGCCTTCGCGGCGCCTCCTTTGGCTCAACAACTTCTGCCTCCAGCGACGACGATTCAGCCCAACAGGGAGGCATGTTCGGTAGTCTCTTTGGCACGACCCCGGGGAACCTGTTGCAAAAGGGGGTACGAGGGGTTGCGAATGCCTTCTCCAAGGGCCCTAGCGACGTGCCACCGGGCTTGGGCAATATCAGCAACTCTTGCTACCAAAACAGCGTTATCCAAGGCCTCGCGTCCCTCCCATCGCTACGCGACCATCTTTCCAAAACCACCTCCGAAAACCCCGCGCTTACCCCGGATACCACAAATGGCGCGCTATTCGATATCATCACACAGCTGAACGACCCGAACAACAAGGGCCAACATTTTTGGATACGTGGCAAGTTGAAGTCGATGAGCACTTTCGAACAACAGGATGCGCAGGAGTATTATAGCAAAATCTTGGACGCGCTAGATGAGGAAGTCAAGAAGACCGCGAGCAGTAAGAGGCGGTCCTCTGTCTCCTGGCTGGAAGTTACAAAGAGCCTGAGTGACTCAACAGATACAGATGAGAAAGCGCAAGACGAAACAAAGGACGGACTGCATAAGTCAGGAGCACAACCCCAGGTCCCGTCAAACCCTCTTGAGGGACGCCTCGCTCAGCGTGTTGGCTGCACGTCCTGCGGCTACTCCGAAGGTCTCACCCTTATTCCATTCAACTGCATCACTGTGTCTCTTGGAAAAAGCTACAGCTACGACGTTCGGGAGTGTCTCGACGAATACACAACTCTAGAATTTATCGATGGCGTCGAATGCGCAAAATGTACGCTGCTTAAGCTGGAGCGGACTCTTTCGCCTTTAATCGCTGCTAAACCCGAATCGCCACTGAAAGCAAGACTGGACGCTGTACAAGAGGCTCTGGGAAAAGAAGATTTTGAAGATAAGACGCTGCTGAAAACCCTAAACGTGCCGAAGAAGAATTGGGTACAGAGCACAAAGTCGAAACAAGCCGTCGTTGCACGCGCGCCTCAGTCGTTGGTCTTGCATATCAACCGAAGCAGCTTCAATGAATATACTGGCATGCCGTTCAAGAACACTGCGGGAGTCTCATACCCAACAGTGTTAGATCTTGGAAACTGGTGTCTGGGTGGCATTCCTCATGGCTCACAGCAGCCCGCTACGTCAGAAGAGGAATGGCCCAAGGACCCCAGACAGTCGATGCTAGCAAGGGATGAGCCTATGACAGACTCGCCATTCCAATACCGGTTGCGCGCCGCTGTTACGCACTACGGCTCGCATGGTAACGGCCACTACGTCTGCTACCGTTCGCACCCCAAAACGGAGCCAAAGCCTAAGAATGATGAAGATGCTGAGGCATCATCCACGGAAGACGAAGAAGCCGAGGATGTTGCCGTACAAGAGCCGGAAGAAGTATCTTCTACACAACAATCAGAACAGTGGTGGCGTTTCAGTGATGATAGCGTTTACCCCGTGTCTGAACAGGAAGCGCACCAAGGGAACGTCTTCATGCTTTTCTATGAGCGTATCAACGAGGAGGCTGTTTTACCACCACATGCCACAGCAGAGAGTACATCTGTGGTCGAAGAGGCACCCTTGCCGCCAAATGATGTTATGACTGCCCTAATCACCGCACTTGATGAGGAGGCCGTCGCCATCGCCCTGCCAGATGATGACGAAGATCTACTAGATCTCATCCCACCACAAACAACACCAGTGCCTCAACCAGCCACCCTCGATACCACTTCCGAGCAACACCCAGCGGAAGAGCTAGTGCCGGATTCCCCCACAGTGGGCACTCAAATCGAATCCACCACACTGGATACCGAGACAGAAGCCAGCGACGCAGAATCCGAGGACGCGCCGTCAACACAGTTGACATCCGACAACGAATCAGAGGCCGACGCCCCCACGCCTCCAAAAACCACACCCACTCTTCAAAAGGTCTCACCTAACCTTATGCGCACGGCAGGCAATGCGTCGAACAGAGGGCAAAAGGGCAATGGTACGCAGAGTTTACCGTTGGTGTCTGCTACGTAGTATGTGAGTGGCGCGATCGGTAAACGAGTCAAACTTGGATAGTATTAAGGGAATGGGGAGTTATTATGCGTTCACATTGGGTTTGGGTACGGCATCTTTACCAGGCGTTCCAGTTACCTGTTTGCCCGACAGGGTCAGGTTGGCGTTTTTTTCCTTCAAGGACAACGTATTGCTTGTGTAAATAATACGCAGCTAGCCTTTGGGACAAATCGATGTTATTGCATTCTTATGCTCACGATTCTTCATGATGTGATGTTGTCTCCTGGACAAGTGCCACCATGTTGTCAATCTGTATCAACTTCTGGCATGTCTGGCTTAAGCCTTTGACGTGATGCGCATCGCAGTCTAGCTATTACAATGCATTTACGAGTTCTGGGGATGTATATTCGAGCTCAAAAAGGACTGTTTATTAAAAAAAAAAAACTTTCGTAGAGCGGCTTCTTGCTGTCACCTGTCCAAGTGACTCTGGACCAACCATTCATCACAGCATTGCTTGAAGGTAAAGGTACCCGGGACCATTTCTTATTGGCTCAACTATATCGCCAGGCTGTTGCCACGTGAATGGCGTGCATGGGGTTAAGCGAACACGGAAGTCTGGAACCTCACTACATCCCGTTGATGATCACCTCTTGTCCGGTGAATCCTTAGACAGCGAAAACGCCCCATGAGGCTTGACTATTCCGAATGCGCGTTTTACATCTTAAGAACCAGGTCGAAAGCGAGAGGCGCCGATACTAGGGCTCCGCACTTGCCTCCGCACGTACAGGGCCAAGCACGGCATATTCGAGGAAGACCCAGCTGAACAGCTCTGGAGCAGCCACGACTTTTCTTTTTCGCTTCTGTCTTCCCTATTCGTCTATTACGGACCTAGTCTGTCGCATTTCTCCGCTCAAAGTCTTGCCAATTCTGCGAGTCTTGAAGCTTAGCGGAGATCAAAATAGTCCATCCTGCAGATCACGCAACTGCAAGCCACATTCTTGGCACAACAAGCTTGTAGCTGAAAGACTTCGCCAGCGCATACAGTCAATGACTTCTTGACTCTAGTGACAACTCCGGTTCCCGCGCTTTGCACCTTCCTTGGGTCGTTTCTGACATCTATCGCGTTTGCGGGATAGTGAAGAAGCATACTCCGTCGGTCGTATCGCTACAGGAGAATGTAAAACCAATGTCGAGAGAACATGATTTTGTTTAAAAGAGAACGTTCCTAGCCCGTGTCGCTAGACTCCGACCCAAGCCCTCAAGGACCTGGATCTTGGGCAATCGTGGACTTGGATACGAGAAGCATTGTCTTGGCGATTCTCAGCCGCTTCGCAACCCCAGGTTTCCCCATGTGGGTACGAGGGACTTATCCAGGGTTTGCAAAGGTCCAGATCAATCTTCGGTAGCCTTGCGGCAACCATGCTAGTGGGACGTCGCAGTGGTAGCCCATTATGTCTCTGAGACTAGGAATAGACCTTGCTTCTCTATGACCAGGATGAGTATTTCCTACCCGCGGACAACTGACTACGCCGCAATAGAAAGTTCGCGGCAGCCTTGTCCTCCCAGCTGTCTTCGCCACACTTCTTGGAAGTATCGATGGCGGACGCCATGAACATCCTACTGGTCACGGAGACGGCAGTGAGTTGACTGAAGCATTTGCCAAGCTTCGAGACCCCCAGCATTCTCTTGACTGTCTCCAAGATACCGGAGGAGACGAGGTCTGGGTGTTTATCTTGGCGCACTGTTACTATCACGTCGTGTTGAACTTCGAGCAGCGCGACTAATGTCCAACTCAGATACGGAAAGGTGGGTTCCTTGATATCTATATAATCGCCATGTTTCCCATTCCAGATTGTTATTCACACCAGATCTTCACCAAACATTGTCACAATTGGGCAGTTCAAGATGTCTCGTGTATCAAAGGTTGCCTCTTTCCTTGCGCTGGCCTCAACAAGTCTGGCGCAACTCCCGAGTATTCAGCCATTTACTGTTACTGGATCTCTTGATGGGTACGTTTGTTACTTGGGGTGTAAGCCCAACACTAACACGAGATAGTTGTGCGTCCACGGGCTCAGAATACAATGCTGGTGGTAGTATCTCGGTCAACAACTTTGCAATCGAAGTACCGAAGAATCTCATCGTTCAGTTCCCGGTAGTATGGGCACCGTTCCGAGAGCTTTGTGATGCTGGAGCTTTTGGTTTCGAGACTACAGTTGTTGGCAATATTGTCGACGGCAAAGTCATCGCCGGCCAGATCTCAGTCGCTCAACGCTTCGGTCTCGAGGGAAGCCAAGGCTATATCTCAAAGATCAACGACGACGGTACGCTCCAGATAGCTAGTGGACCGACAGTCCGCATCAATGATCCTGATGGCTTGTTCGGACCACAATACGACTCTCAAAAGTACTGGATCGCTGATACAGCCAACCCTTCGGTATCATCTTTCTCAGGCTTCCCCATGTGCATACCGTACGCTGGAAACACCGCAAAGTGCTCGAGCTCCAATCGCCCTTCCGGCCAAACATTCACACCCCAAGACCCCCTTGCCATGGTACCTCTCAAGGTCGGCGATTTCATCGAATACTCTGGTCTCAAGAACGGTGGTGGCGAGATCCTCGCTTCGTCTATTGTTTGCATTAGCTTGCACATTACCACTCAAGCTGGTGCGAACGTACCTAACTACATTCGGGTTGAAGACTTCCTTGTTGGCGTACCAGACAACTCTGCGAATGTAGAGTTTGCCGATATCCGTGCCATCGGTTTCCTCTCCAGCTGTGCTGGTGCTACAGTCACCATCAGTGCCATTGATGTCGACCCTTGCACGGGAAAGGAAACCTATCGACCCATTGGTACAACTCAGCCGAAGCAAGAAACTCGTTGCAAGTGGGAGGCCCGCATCGCTCCGCAAGCTCAAGCTCCTTTCACCCGTGAGTACCGCATCACGACAAACAGTCCAGTCCAGACGACCAAAGATGGCATCAAGGCAGGACAGTTTATCGCAGCTGTTAGCGAGTGGATCTTTCCCGAAGTTGATGTCCCCGGAACAAACCCACCACCGTACCCGTTCAACGACATCAGAGGCCTGGTACAAGGAGACTTCCTCGACGGCAAACAGTATGGTCCCCTCTCGCCCTTCCCAGGCCCTGCTCCACCAGCGCCATCCAAGACCTGCAGTCCCGCAGATATCCCAGATCCGAATGCCACACCCACACCCACACCCTCACCTTCTCCCAGCCCAGAAACACCTTCTGAACCATCCACACCCCAGACCGCGCCAATTGCTTCCATTGCCACTTTTGCATCTGCGCTCCGTGTTGGCACAGATGTCACACTACTCGGCTCCAACACTGCCTCTGGCCTCAAAGACACTGATCTGAACTTTGCCTGGACCAAGACCACACCCTCCAGCCCAGCCATCAGCATAACCAATGCCAACAGCCCCAGTGCCACATTCCTCGCGCCAAAGGTTACAACAGAAACCTCCTTCACCTTCGAACTGACCATTACGTCCAAAACCGACACTACGAAATCTAGCAAAGCAACTGTCACTGTCAAGATCAACCCCACGCTCGCTGACACTGTCACTATGGATACCTACACATGGGAGTCACGGCAATCAGGCAGTATCACTGCGTCTTGTACTTCCAATGTCAAGAACGGGGATAACAAGAGTATGACGCTGCTTCTTAATGGAACAACGAGACGCACCATGGTGGCCGTGAGTGGGCAGCCAGGAAAATGGACGTACAGCGCTAGGGACACGGCGAGGCCGACTAATGTCAAGTGTGTGAGTGATTTGAAGGGAGAGAGTGCGCTTAGGGCGGGGACTGCTACAACGAGGAAGAGGAGAGCTTTTATTGCCTGATTGGAGAGTAGGGCTGGAGGCGTTGTGTTGCGAAGTTTTTGTATATATTCAGTTTGAGGTTCTGATGCAGTAATGAATGACATGATCTATAAGTGACAGCTGTCAGTGGGTTGAACGTCCATGCTACGTATAGCAGACTGTGAAGATTAGGAAGTTGGTAATGAACACGACCGGCCGGTCAACCAACACTTCGACTGATAAGACTTGTTTTTTAGCAGCGAACGTCAATGCGGGTAGAAACATGGGCATGCCCTAATTGTCGATGTAACAATCTTAGAGATTTGTCTCTGTGGATTGTCCAAGATATGTCGGCTTGTTTGCTTCATGTCGTAAAGAAACATCACAGGGATGCCTTCGATGCGAATCCGGAGCTAATAGCTGTTCTCCTGGGTCATCCTGTCGCATGATTTAACCATCACGTATGCCCTAGGTACCACAGCACTCCACATCTCTGACGGCAAAACGACAGCATGTTGTGAATTCAGGATTGATTTCTCATTGCATGCAAAGCCGGATATCTCCCCCATTATCCGTAAACAATGTTATGAGGAAAACACGCCATGCAGAAACATCCCCGCCCGACTACAAAGCTCACTCTCTCAGCTTCGCTTTTCCTTAATCTCGAGCCCATTTCCTGTTTTGCTTGATCGTGATGCGGTCGGGTCGAGGGCAACTTTGTTTTATCGTATCGTCAGGTAATCATCGTTCGTCACTTGCGCCCATTTCTACTCCTGCCGTTCGAAAATGAAGGATTTAACGGTGCTGTTGAGTTGTTAGCTTCAGTGTTCCTCCGTGCACATGATGCGAAGTATAGGTATAAAGTATGAAGCAGAACATACCTTGACGAAGCCAATGTCGGAGCTCTTCTCACGGAAGCACTGACGGCAGATGTTGAGGCCGTACTTGCGGATCAGACCAGCGGGGTGGGTGCAGACGCGGCTGTGAGTACTGTGTTAGCCTTCGGGTCCTGGAAACCATGCACCATTGTATCCAAATCTGTCCAATCCCCCTCCTGCGAGACCAACACGGTGCGCTCGCCCACCCAGTACGTATAAACAGCGCTTGCACGCGCATTATCCAGAGTTTCAGACGTACCACTCGCGGGAGCCCTTGCCGTAAGTCCTAGGGCGGGAGTACCAGACCGACTCGTGAGACA